CTTTCTTTTTCTTCTCTTTTGCTTTTTTGGGGTCATGCCCGGCGATGCTCAGGGGTTACTTCTGGCTCTGCACGCAGGAGTCACTCCTGGCGGTGCTCGGGGGACCACAGGGTGTGCCAGGGATGGAGCCCAGGTCAGCCGCGTGCAAGGCAAACAGCCTCCCCACTGTGCTATCGCTCCAGCCCTGAGCATCACCCGGTGTGACCCAAAAAGCAAAAAAAAAAAAAAAAAAAAATTGCTGGGAGTGACCCGGGAGGCCTGTTAAATACTGCCTAGGAGAATCCCCTCTCCCCTGCCATCATATTTATGATAAAAATGTACTGATCTTAGAAAATCTGGAAAATAGAGAAAAAAACATATTCACGCTTTGCTCAAACCCTCTTAATTCCTTATGTTCTGATAGCACTGTCCTCCCATTGTTCATCGATTTGCTCGAGCGGGCCCAGTAACGTCTCCATCGTGAGACTTGTTGTTACTGTGTTTGGCTTATAGAATACGTCACGGGGAGCTTGCCAGGCTTTGCTGTGCAGGTGAGATACTCTTGGTAGCTTGCCCGGCTCTCCGGGAGGGTGGAGAAATCGAACCCGGCTTGGCCGGGCCGGCCACACGCAAGGCAAATGCCCTACCACTGTGCTCTCGCTCCAGCCCAGTGTTTTGATCAAGTTTACATATACTATATCCTGTATTTTTTTATGTTCATTAATGTAGGAATTTCCCATCTAAATGTCTCTTTTATCTTTGATGTGGCTGTTACACATTATGTAAGAAAGTGAAGGGCATCATTTTGGGGACCTTGGGACAGAGCCCAGAGCCCAGTCCTCACAAACTTCTGAAAGTCAGTGTTCCTCCCCTCGGCGAGGCCCGAGTCTGCCTCTCAGACATCCTATGGGATTCCTGTCTTCGGACTTTTACCTTTTTTTTCGCGTTATGACCATTTCACAATGTTCTAGAACTTCGGGGACTTCAGAATCCCTCCCCAGTATGGATCATTCTCCGCTGTGCCCCTCCCCACCTGTTCTCCGGCCCTCCCACAGCTGGACCCGACTGAAGCCTCCGTCAGGCCCACCGGCCCCCGCGCCACCGTCCACCCCCTGAAGCAGGAGTTTGGCTTTGGTCAGCTGTTGGTCTTCCCCGGGAGAGAAACCGTCCAATAACTGTCTTTCACTTCCTGGCTTGCTAGTTCAGCAGAGTCACCTTCAGACCGGCCCGGCTGGTCCCCCAGGACGGCCTCGCCCTTCTGGAGGGACACAGCAGCTCCCGTTGGCGCCCACCCCACGCACTTCTGCAAGCGTGGCACTCGCCTGCATGCGGACTGGTCTGCGTGTGACCTGCCAGGTGGCTCTGCGTGTGCCCGAGGCAGCCTGGGTCCTTGTGTGCCCGCCAGGTGGGTCCGCGTGTGCCCAGGGCAGGCTGGATGGACACAGGTACAAACCCCTTCACATGAGCGCTCCGTTAGCCAGAGAGAACGGGCACCCTCTTCTAAATCTTCCCTCCGCTTCGCAAACATTTTCCTATCGATTTATTTTCAGATTTACTGACTCCTCTGCGTTCCCCATTCGTCTATTAGCCAATAAAGTGACATTTTTATTTCCGATATCTTCTCAGTCATAAAAGCTTGATTTGATCCCCCCCCCCCCATGAGCCGTTCACACATTTACAGAAAGGCTGCACGATAACAGAGATGTGTGTACACCCCTCGGTTTTCCCCAAAGTTAAAAATCCTACGTCGCCGCGAACCCCGGTGTATCTGTCAGACTCAAGATGCTTCAAGCTCATCATTTCTGTGAGCCGAACCCTCAGGGCTTCCCGTGTCACCCGCTTGCCAGAGGGTCCCGCTCACCTCCGAGCTCAGCTGCTCTTCGTGAGGGTCTATCTTCTCTTCCAAGACTTTCTCTTCCTGTTAAAATTTGTTCCGCTTTGGGGCCGGGGTGCCTGGAGCTCAGTGGCCTGGGTTCGACCCTCCGTACCGCAAACCGCCAGCTTCACTATAGCTCAGGGTCAGAACCATGTTTCCCCTTTGATACTTCCGGGTCTGCGTCATCTCTGGCTTGGCCCTTCCTGGGAATTTGGTCCTTGGTGAGCAGAGTTTTATTCGAGACATTTGATGTTTGTCGCGTGAGAAGACGAGGTCCCACGCAAATGCTCCGTCCTTCCTCCCTTTCATTCTTGCGTCCTCCCCCTCCCCCTCCCCTTCCTCCTCCTCCTCCTCCTCTTCCTCTTGTCCTTGGGTGGAGTTGCAGCCCTCCGGGGCCCACTGGCTTTCTCTCCCGTGGCCGGGCCAGCGGGGGCGGTGGATGCGGGGGCCACGGCCGCGTGTTTCTCTCCACCCGCAGGAACGTGTCCCTGGTAGAGAACGTGGAAGCCTCGGGCAAGCACACGGTGTATTACACCAGCCACGAGACGCGGGACCAGCTGGTGCAGATGCTCACCCACACCAGGAAGGAGCCCGTGTAGGTGCCCCCCCCACACACACACACCCGCCTGTGCGCACCCTGGGGTGGGACCCAGCCCCACAGCCCCACAGCCGGGCAGCAAACTTTGCACGGGGAAGAACCAGCCTCAGCCCCCAGCCGCAAAGGCTGGCGCCCCAAAGCACAGGCCGGAGTCGAGGGACCCTCCTCCAGCCCCTCTGGGGGTGGACAAAATGGGGGGGGACCGAATCACCCAGTTGCTCAGAGCCAGTAGGACCCCCTGCGTCCAGCTCAGGGGCACCCGTGTGCTCTCTGCGCTAGCGGGCGAGTGGACACCAGGGGTCCGAGCTTCCGGGCTTCCACTTTGCTCTCCTGACCACAGGATGCTTCCGGGACTGATCCCCAAAGCGCTCAAGACCACAGCGGGGACGGAGGCGAAGCTGGCCAGACAGCTGCAAGTCTGTAAGCAAGCAAGCTGCCCCTCGCTGCCGGCCCCCTGCCCGCCTGCCCCCCGACCCTGTGCCGGGAAGGGAGGACCGGGCCCGGTGCTATGCCGAGGGCTTTCAGAGGCATTATCTTGTTGGAGGCTCATTTGGGGCAAGGTCTGGAAAACAACCGATTTCCTGAAACCCTAAATAGACGAGGCTGAACGCGGCGAACACAGCGTGTGTTTTGCTGTCTCAGGCCCAAACAAGCTTCTGTTAAGAACAAACAAGCCAAGGGAACATCAATTCACCGGGAGCACGGCCCGAATGCACGCACTCAGCAACTGCGGCCTGGGGGAGGGGTGGCCAAGGCCGGGCCGGGACGGGGACACTGGTCAGCGGCATGGTTTGCTGAGATGCTTCTCGGGCCCGTGGGGGTCTGCAGGGCTCAGGGGGGAGGGGAGGAGCCCCGGGCGCCCCTAAGCATCCCCCAGGGGCCCGCGTGGCCCCGGCCGTCCCGAGTCACACCCCGTGGTGGCCCGCAGCTCACTCCCAGAGGCCCCAGGACGTGGACCGCCTGGCCTTCTTCCGGAACATCACCGTGCGGCTGCAGGAGCTGAAGCCCGTGGGCGCCCCCGAGGCCAGCCTGTCGGTGGAGTGGTGGGTGGTCCAGGAGTGGTGGCCGGGCTGTGACCACGGCCGGGGCTGCAGCCGGGACCTAGAGCTGGTCATCTACAACGACAAAGTCAGCCCCCAGAGCATGGGCTTCCTGGCGGGATACGGGTGAGTCTCCGGGCGTGGGGGGCGGGGGGGGGGCCGCCCCCTGCCGATCGGGGTCTCCCCAGGAAGCTGACGACAGCGGCTCCCAGCGCTCACGCCCGCGCCCCCGCCTCCCCACGTCCCCCCTCAGCATCGTCGGCCTCTACGTGTCCGTGGTGATGGTGGCGGCCAAGTTCATCCGGGAGCACTTCCTGGGCATCTCCCGCTCCATCATGTTCGAGGAGCTGCCCTGCGTGGACCGGATCTTCCGCCTCTGCACCGACATCTTCCTGGTGCGGGAGCTCGGCGAGCTGGAGTTGGAACAGCAGCTCTTCTCCAAGCTCATCTTCCTGTACCGCTCGCCCGAGACCATGATCAAGTGGACCCGCGACCCGCCCGAGCCCGCGCCCCCGCCGCCCCGCCGCCCCGCGCCCCCCGAGGCCGGGGCCCCAGGGGAGCCCGGGGAGGCAGCCGCTGAGCCCTGACGCCCGCCTCCCCCCGTACCCCGACCCGCAACCCCCCGCCCCTCCCCTGCCACCAGCCCCACGGGCCAGCCCCGGCCTGCAGCTGGTGGCCAGCTGGTGGCCCGGCCCTGAGGCCGCCTTGGTGCCCACACAAGGGACACTCAGTTCGCCCCCTGCTCCCTGACCCCGAGTCCTGCAGCCCCTCGCAGGGGGAGTGGAGGGGGCCAGCTGCCCGAGAAGGAGCTGTGTGGCACCTCCGAGGTCTACCGTGCCCCGGGGGCACCTCGGAAGCGGTGCGGCCGACTCAGGGCCATTAAGCTGCTAATGACCCAGCAAGGCTCCCCTTCCCGTCCCCTGGCTGCGGGTGAAGCCCGTGACCTCCCACTGTGACCACCACGGCCCCAGCTTTCCCAGCCTCTGAGCGGCCGGTGGCCCTTTCCGGCCAGCCAAAGCTGCAAGCAGTTAATAAATACTTGTCAGATGGACTGAGTTCACGCCTGGAGGGTCGCCTTGATTGCGGGGGCTGGGACCTGGGACCGGGCTGGGTGGTGGTCAGCGGGTCAGGCCCGCCTGGGGACGTGGGTCCTGGAACCTCCGTTGAGAGTCCCAGACTGGGGGGCGCCTGCCCCCCGCCCCACCTCCCTCCCCGGCTCTCCTTCGGGTCAGCTCATGTCTGGGCCCAGGGCTTCCGCGGGAGCCTGCCGTTGGGGAGGGGCAGGGGTCCTGCTCGGGACCCTCGGAACACCACAGCTCGGCTCTGTGGCTGGTGGAGGTCTTGGGACAGTTACACGCGGGCAGCCCTAGAGTCCCGGGGGTCCCCGTTTGCCGGCGTAAGGAGGAGACAGACGAGACCCCTGGTGAGGTGCAGCGGTTTTATTTCAGCCACTAATGCGTCGCTTCACAGGCGGCCACTCCTGAGGAGGCGGTCGGGGAGGGACGGCGAAGCGGGGGCGGCCGGGAGCGTGGGTGCCCCATGCAGGGAGACGCCGAGGCCCCGCCACGGCCCCAGCGGGGAGCAGATGGGTACGGTGGCCCCGGCCCCGCAGGGCGGAAGACGAGAGCCCAGCGCAGGTCCGAGGGCGCCGGGGGCGTGGGCGGGTGGGTGACACTTGGCTCCCCGCGGGCGACAGCGGCAAGAGCCTCACACCAGCCGGCGCCGCTTGGAGTCCCTCCCGGTGTCGCCCTCAGCGGCGTCCTCCTCACAGCCCAGGGGGGACACCAGGTTCAGCAGAGGGTCCTCGGAGGCCCGGCCGAAGAGAGCCAGCAGGAGCGCCACGCCGAAACCTGTGGCCCGCTCGCCCTGCGCGGGGGAGAGGGGGGACAGGCCGTGCCACGGGGTCACCGCCCACGGCCGTCCAGCCGCTGTCCTGCCCAGCAGGGGCCACCCCGGGCCCGGGCCCCATTCTGCACCGTCTCCACGAGCACGGTCCGCGTTGGAAACTGCAGGGGCTCGAGGATGGGGTGGGGGGGAGGGTCCCTCACTCACGGCATGGACAGGCGCCGCGATGTCCAGGTGGACCCAGACCCCAGGCCAGTCGAAGCCCAGGTGCGAGGCGATGAAGAGGCCGGCACAGGAGCTGGGGCTGTTGTCCCGGTCCTGTGATGGAGGCGGGTGGTGACGCTCGGTGACACTTGGCTCCCCGCGGGCGACAGCGGCAAGAGCTTCAGGGCTGGCCTGGGGGCTCACGGGAGCGAGGGAGGAGCTGGGGCAGCCCCCCACCCCGAGGGCCCCGCGACCGGCCCGCAGGGACCCGAGTGCCACCTACCGCCACCGAGTTCTTCATGTCGGCCACGGCGGACGTGAACTCGCTGAAGTGCAGCTCGGGGCAGTAGACGAGCGGGTGCACCAGGTCCCCGCACTGCCGGCCCGCCTTCACGCACGCCGCCTCCCACTCAGCGTGGTTGGTCAGCACTGCGGCGTGGTACTTGCCCGTGGCGATGCCCTGCCGGGCGCGGGAGACACAAGGGAGGGCCGCGTGGGGCCGGGGAAGAGGCTCCCGCCCGGGCCCGCACCTTCCCGGGACCCACCTGAGCTCCGGTCAGCGTGGCCATGTCCAGGATGATGTCCGCGCCCAGGTCCTTGCAGGCGTAGGACACGCCGTCGGCCAACACCAGCCTGCCCTCGGCGTCTGTGTTATTGATCTCCACGGTCCTGGGGCCGGCGCAGAGCCCGGGTCAGAGGGACAGGGGGCAAAGGGCAGCTAGCTGCACCCGCTCTCCCGGGTGGACCTCGGGACCCTCGTGGGCCAGATGGGCAGCGGGAGTAGAGCTGGGCCCTGGGGGCACCAAGGGCTGTCCCGGCTACGCTGCGCCCTGACCCTGCCTCCATGCTGAAGGGGTCTCAGCCAGCGACCGTGACCCCTAGGGGGAAGCTCGTCTGAGACGGGAGAGCCAGGCACCCCACGCCCGGGGCCAGGGCGCCTCTTGCGGGACAGAGCCCATGGGGGGAGGGGGGCTCACTTTCCGGAGTACAGCAGGTGGATGTCGTCCGGCCGTGTGGCGTTGGGCCCCACCGAGTTCTCGGCCAGGCAGAACACGGCGTGGAGGTTGTCTTTGAAGCCCTGTGGGTGCACAGACCACGGCTGTCTCCCAGGACCCCGCGCCCGGGAGCTCGCCGTCTGCAGGGCTCCAAGACCCGCGCCCACCCCGGGACCCACACACGCCACGGGACGAGGCCCCCGGGGCTCACCTGCTTGATGGCGGCCCTGAAGGCGCCCAGCACGGCCGCCGCGCCCCCGCAGTCCCGCTTCATCCCAGGCATCGTGGTCTGGGGGACAGGAGGGGGTGGGCTCACGTGAGAGGCCGAGATCCCCCCAGGAACGGCAGGACGGGTCCACGCACACAAATGACTCACACCGCCCACCGGGTCGGAAACAAAGGCCACACGGATGGTGTGATCCGGGCCACGGTGGGAGGGCTCCCTGCTCGCGGCTGGTGCCCGGGTTTGGTGCCCAGCACCCCGATATGGTCCAACTCGGGCACGGCGGTACCGGCGGCCCACACCGCACATCCACAGGACGAAGCCGCCGGTCATTGTCGCTGGCCGAGCCCGGAGCGGCTGGGCAGGGACCCAACGTCTTGGCCCTACCCCCAGCACAGGGACACGCACGCCACGGGACACGCACATGGACTGCCACGGCTCGGCATGGCCGACCACGTACCCACCCTGTGGCAAGACAGGTGGCAGGCGAGGCTGGGCTGGACACAGGGGTCTCTGCACGGGGGTCCCTGCATGGGGGTCCCTACACGGGGGGGCCCTGCAGCTGAGGGGCGGGGCCTGCGGTCTGTGGCAGCAAGAGCCCTGAGCGGAGTGAGTCGGCAGCTCAGGGCAAATGCCGACGGCGGGACAAGGGGATGCCGGGGGGTCCCGAGCGGGCCAAGCCGGGCCTGGAGTGTGGAAGGACAGGGATGGGGCCTCACACGCAGGGTCTGACCCCACGGCCACCGACGCTGCACGCAGAGACCCAAACCACAGCGGGCAAGCGGAGACGGGGCGTGTGGGGCGGCCAGCGGGTGAGCCGGGCCCTGACACCGCGAGGAGATCTCGGCTGGAAACACGCGTGAGCCGCGACACAGACTATCACACGGCAGCACATGGCGGGTCATGGGCTGCGCTCCAGATGACGGGGCGGAGGGGAGCCTCGGCCGACCAGAGCCCCTCGCGGGGGAGCCCCGGGACCCCCTCACTCCACACCCTCACCGCCTGTGACCCTCAGTCCATCTCCCACCAGCCCCCAGGGCCTCGCCCGCGGCCCTCCTGGCGGTCAGGGTGGGGCTGGCCACTCGAAGCCTCAGACACGCCCCACGCCCTCGCTGGACACCAAAGGGCCGGCCGCCCTGTCCTGCCCTCTGGCCAACACGGCATTGTCCACTGAGCGTCCCCGCTGGACCCCGGCTGCAGCCCACCCGCCCGGGCACCCAGGCGACCGTGTCCGCCTCAGAGATGTCACTTCCCAGACACGGCACGGGGCGGCTGCATCGCGCCTCCCTTCTGACAGGTTCCCAACTCTAATTGACAAGTTCATATTTTAAATTAACAACGGGTCACCGAGGGGCAGGCTCCGGTTTGAAAAGGCACCGAGCGGCTTCTTGAACCCCGGTCGGAGGAGGCGGGGCTCGCAGCGTTAATGGGAAGTGCTTCTGGACAGAAACCAGCTCCTTCACAATTAAAGCAGCGCGCGAGTGACCCGGCTGCACTATTGATAATAAGCTGTCGCGTCTGGCCCCATCGGCAAGAAAGCTCAGGAGGGAAATCTCAAGAGGAAAAGAGAAACCAAGAGAATCCTGGGGGCCGGAATCCATCCAGGCGCAAGAGAGCCCACGCCGGGGGTCCCTCCTGCCTCCAGGCCGGGAGGACCCGGGGAGCACTGGCGTGGGGCGCGCAGACCCAGACTCCACCCTCGGGACCCGTCCCCCAGCCCTGCCGGGGGGGTCCCCACGCAGAGCCAGGAGAAGGCCCTGAAGCAACCCAGGTGCGACCCCCAGACAAAACCAAATCGAAGCAAAACACAATCTGGGTCCCGGAGTCCCTGTGTAATGGGGGCCCACCATGTGCCCCCTGTTCTCCACGGCTAGTTTGGGGGTTCCCAGGGGCTCCCCGACTCTGACTCTGAAGCCATCAGGCCCCTCCTCCAAGACCACAGCTACCAACAAGCAATCTGTGTCCCCCAGGCCCCAGGGGAGCGGTCAGACGCCCGGTGCAGGGTCCCAAGGCCCAACCTCTGTGGGCCAGGCCATGCCCTGGGCCCAGGTGCCCCCATGGCCACTTGCACCAACAGCAGAGGGGACGCGGGCAGCTGTGCACTGGCTGGACCGGCTCCCCCACAAGCACAGAGGTGCGCGGGTGGACTCTCCCCCTGCTGGGGTCCCGGGCGGGGGGAGCGTGCGGCAGACCTGACGCTAGTGGCGTGTGCAAACAGCGTCCGCCCAAGCTTTCTCTGGGCACTGTTGTCGGGGACAGAACCCAGGACCTTGACACCTGCATGGCCGGCCCCCACCCACTCGCTTCCATTTGATAAAACTCTGTGGCTCAGGGGACCCTCCTGGCTCAGGACCTGGGGGTCCCTCACGGCAGTGCTTCGAGGGGACCGTGCAGTGCCAGGACCTTGTCTCCTGCCTGCAGAGCAAGTGCGGCTCACATTATGCTCAGCACAAAGCCCCCGAGGACAGCCAGAACTTAATGAAGCAGAACATTTTTCTGCTTAAAAAAAAAAAAAAGTGGGGCTGGAGCCATAGCACGGCGGGGAGGGCGTTTGCCGTGCACACGACCGACCTGGGTTCGATTCCCAGCTTCCCATGTGGTCCCCTGAGCACTGTCAGGAGTAATTCCTGAGTGCAAAGCCAGGAGTAACCCTTGTGCATCGCTGGGTGTGACCCAGAAAGAAAAAAAAAATGTATGCTGGGGTCAGAGAGGCAGGGCGGGGGCAAAGGCCTCACCTCGCATGTGGCCGACCCAGGTTCAATCCCCGGCAATGACTCCGGTCCTCGGAGCCCCACCAGGGGAGGCCCCGGGCACAGAGCCAGGAGTCAGGCCTCAGTAGCCCCCAGGCATAGCCCGAACTCCAGGAATAAATAACTAACTTAGATGGGCATTAACGCACTGCTGCGAAGGGCGTAAGCGCCGTCAGTGTTACCGCAGCCCTCTCCGCTTTATTTGCGCTATTATGTTTATTTGCTTTTCAGTTTTTTTCCCTCGGCATAATAACAGGTACGGAATTCAATAAGAGAGAATGCTTACGATCAGTGTTTTTTAAAAACCTTCATTATTATTAGTTTCATTTCCTGATTTCGTCCTGAAAATGATCTTGTTGTTTAGAGGAGGAAGATTTAAAAAAGAAAAAAAGAAAAAAACTCAGTGCACACTTGAGGCACCAAGTTCCCTGGGGCTGCACAGTGGCAATTCTTCAGCCCACTATGCCGTGCTCGCACTGGGTGAGGGGGCCACGGGGGTCTGTGGCTCGGGGGCCCTCGGGGCCCGGGAGCTGGAGGGGCCCCCAGTCACAGGGTAGGCAGGAACCAGAGGATAGCACGGAGGGTATTTGCCCGGCACCCCGGATAGTCTTCCGAACTCTGCCAGGAGTCAGCCCTGAGCACAGAGCCGGGAATGAGCCCTGAGCACAGAGCCGGGAGTGAGCCCTGAGCACAGAGCCGGGAGTGAGCCCTGAGCACAGAGCCGGGAGTGAGCACTGAACACAGAACCGGGAGTCAGCCCTGAGCACAGAGCCGGGAGTGAGCACTGAACACAGAATCGGGAGTCAGCCCTGAGCACAGAGCCGGGAGTCATCCCTGAGCACAGAACTGGGAGTCAGCCCCAAGCACTGCACAGTGCAGCTCACACACCAGACGCCAAACAATGCCATCTGCAGGGAAGGGACCGGCCCCACCCGCTTTCCTGAGTTCACCAAGGTCGGGAATCTCATCTCGGGTGAGTTTTGCCCGTTTTTCAGAACAGACGTCCATCTTAAACCAGGTGAGGCTCACGGAGCACCCGAGGGCCAGAGGGGTTACGGGCTGCCGGCTCCCAGCAGCCACGCCGGGGCTTTCTCTCAGGGATCCTGGGCCCTGACAACACGAAGCAGCTCGTCCCGACGGGGCCAGTGGAGAAACTATTCAGCGGGGTCATTGGGGGAGGTCGTCCAGCGGGGCCAGTGGGGAAAGCCGCCAGGCCAGAGGGGTGCGGGGACAGTGCCTTGGGCGGCCCCTTCCTGAGTGCCCTCCAGCGGGACCTGCTGACCGCTCACTTCAATGGCCAGGAGACAGGGACACCGCCCTGGGCACAGGGAGGCCAGCAGCCGCCCGTCCACCACCCCGTCTGCCTCAAGGGGTGGGCACAGACACGCCCCCACCCCGTTCCTCCCCCACTCCCGCCCCGTCCCCCCGACCCCGGCCTCCCCCTGCCAGCACCAGCACTCACCTTCCCTTTGATGCTGAGCCCGCCCGTGTCGTACACGACCCCTTTGCCCACCCAGGCGATGGTCTGGGTGGCCTCGTCCGGGGTGTGGCTGAGGACGGCCAGCGCGGGTGGGTGGAGGGCGGCCTTGCCCACGCCGTAGATCCCTGCGGACAGTGCAGGGCAGGGTCAGCTCCCCGGGCTCACGCACACAACCGAGTCCCGCAGAGCAAAGCCACAGCCGCGGCTCCCGGGGGAAACGGAGAGACCGTGGGCTGCACAGACCCCCTCCCCTCCTCGGCTGGGGCCCCTCTCCAGGCCCCGCGGCCACAGAGCTGGTCACAGCTGTCCTGCGGGGGTCACAGCTCCGGTAGCCAAGCGGGTCGCAAGGCCAAGCAATGTCCTCTCCAGAGCCCCTACAGCTGGCCACCCCCACCATCGGGCCGGCCTCGCCCTCGCCCTCCACCATCAGGCTAGCCTCTCCCTCCACCCTACCATCGGGCTGGCCTTGCTTTCACCACCAGGCAGGTCTTGCCCTCCACCATCAGGCCGGCCTCTCCCTCCACAATTGGGCTGGCCTCTGCCTCCACCATCAGCCTGGCCTTGCCTCCACCATTGGGCCGGCCTTGCCCTCCAGCTTTGGGTTGGCCTCTGCCTATACCATCGGGCCGGCCTTGCTCTCCACCATCAGGCTAGCCTCTCCCTCCACCATCAGGCTAGCCTCTCCCTCCACCATCAGGCTAGCCTCTCCCTCCACCATCGGGCTAGCCTCTCCCTCCACCACTGGGCTGGCCTCTGCCTCCACCATCAGCCTGGCCTTGCCTCCACCATCGGGCCGGCCTTGCCCTCCACCATCAGGCTAGCTTCTCCCTCCACCATCGGGCCGGCCTCTCCCTCCACTGCCAGCCAGGCCCTGGGGACCAGGACACGTTTCCTTTCTGCGTTACTTTGTTTCGGGGGGTGTGGATACTTGAGGGTGCCCCGGGATCACGCCTGCAGACTCAGGGCACCACACGAGGTGGGTGCAAGGCCAGCACCCACCCCACCGCCCTATCCCAGGGCCCCCCTCCAACCAGCCCCTCACTCCAGCTCTGGGCCCGGAGACTGGCCCAAGAACAGAACCGGGGGTTAAGTGGGGGCCTGGTCTGTGGCCATCAGCTTCTGAGCTGACCCCTCCGCAGTGGGCCCAGATTCTCAGCGCAGACCCTGGGTGGGGGGAGGGCGGGGAGGGCTTCCCGGAGGAGGCGAGCTGGAGCTGGGACATGCAGGGCGGGAGGCCTCTCCACCCCTCTGGCATCTCCTGGGGGAGCACTGCCCAGAGAGGGAGCCCCGAGCACTGGGACATGGAGACGAGAACCCAAAGGCCGGGGACCGGAGTCTGAGCCCGCCTCCTTCCGGCTGGGGCCTGAGCGTGGACACAGGCTGGGCCCTCTGGGTCATGAGGAGTCACGCGGGGGATGGACAAGGTGCCGGCGGACCCCCACCCCTGCCCCTGCCACGCCCCAGGCCGGGCCCACCTCCGAATCCTCGGGCCCTCAGCTCCTCGTCTCGGATGATGGTCGGGGCGATGCCCAGGTCCTGGCCCACTTTCTTGATCTCCTGGACGTGTGCGGAGAGACAGTGGGCGGCCCTGGCACGGGGCCAGGTCGGAGCCGGCGCCCGCCAGAGGATGAGGCCTGGACGCGCGCGCTGTGGGCGGGCGACACCCAGAAACGCAGCCCCAGAGCCCCCCATGGACCCAGGGAGGGAGCCCCCCAGCTCCGAGGCCCACAGGGCTGCCCGGTCTGGGAAGGGCCCCCTGGCCGTGTGCCCACCCTGCCCCGGCCGGCCCGGCCACCCACCTCCAGGAAGGCATCCGTGTTCATCTCACTGCAGGGCGTGTCCACGATGCGGGCGGCCAGCCGCACCCCCTCCGTGGCACTGACCAAGCACTGGGAGAGGCGACAGCCCATGGCTGGCCGGCCCCGTGTGTCCAGGGTCAGCCCAGCCCCACCCCCCACAGGCTCCCCTGGAGGGAGCCGCCCCCGTCCCCACGAGGGCCTGCAGAGGTCAGCACCCTCAGCCGTGTCCAAGGAGGGGATGGGGGTGCCCGGGAGGTGGAGAGGCCCCTCCCCGCCACACAGCAGCCCCCCAGGGAGGCAGGAACTGGGCCCCAGGTGCCAGCGTGTCCCGGCTGGACGCCAGGCAGGGCAGGAAAGCCCTGGGCGCAGCCCGGCGGGGCCCAGCACCCAGACCCGTGCCGGCAGCGGGAGGTCAGCAGCGCCGTGTCAAAGGGCAGCGAAGCACAAGGCCACGGGCACCCAGGGAGCAACCGATGGACACCCAGGGTGGGACTGAGGTCGCCCAGGAGTGACCACGGGGTGCAGCGGGGCCGGGAGGAAGAACCCTCCCAGGCTGGAGGGCTGGGCTGGGGTGCCTCGGGGCATCTGACTTCAGGGTGAGCGACACCCTTGACCGGGGCTGCCCCAGCCCCTCCAGGGGGCGGGCGGGTGAGGCGGAGACCCGAAGGCCTCCAGGAAGGCCCTGCACACCACAGGGCTGAGACCCTGAGCCCGGGGGAGGGAGGAGGGACCCTGCTCCTCAGGTCGGGGCTGCCCGGCGCCTGGGCAGGGGTGCAGGGGGAGCAGGGGAGGGGCAGCTGCCGGGCGGGGAGGACTCGGGGGCCCTCTCGCACGCGGGGCAGGACAGGCGCCTACCTGCAGCGTGGCCGCGTCCGCGGGGCCCTCGTCGGGCCCCACCAGGAAGAACTCCACCGTCACCGTCTTCTTCTCCGCCCGGCGGGCCGCGGCCGAGCGCTGGGTGAAGAGCGGGAAGGCGCGGGCCAGGGCGCAGGCCGAGGCGAAGGCGTCCGAGCGCTCACAGGCCATCTGCGCGGAGGACAGGGCTGGGCGTGCCGGGGTGGCTGGGGGACGCGGCCCCGCCCTGCCCCCACCGCCAGGTGAGCGAGAAACAAGCAGCCGGAGGGTTCTACCCCCCGAGACGGGCACGGGCACGCAAAGGCCGCCACCTGGCCGACGGCGCCGGCCAGACCGTTCCCAAGCCCCTGGGGCTGCCGCCGCACTGAGAGCAGCCAGGGTGCAGCCGGGCCGGGGCAGGCTCCGTGCCCTCCTCAGAGAGCAGCTCCCAGGACCAGAGCGGGTGTCAGGCCACCAGCACTGCCAGGGTGTAGTACAGGCTGGAGCTGAGTCCCGGCAGATACCACGCCGATCCCCAGGGCTCTTACTAGACTGGACCTGAGTACCAGCAAAGGTACCAGGCCATTACCAGGACTGTTACTAGTCTGGTGTTGAGCACTAGAAGAGGTACCAGGCCGGCTCCTAGGACAATTACTAGGCCGGAGTGAGTACCATTAGAAGGTACCAGGCCGGAGCCCAGGACTAGTAAGTGTTGAGTACCAGAGAGGGGCCGGCCGGTTCCCAGGACTATGACTAGACGAGAGCTGAGGACCGGCAGAGGTACCGGACCAGTTCCTAGGACTATTACTAGAGTTCAGTACTAGCAGTTTCCAGGCCAGCTCCTAGCACTATTACTAGAGCTGAGTACCAACAGGGGTACGAGGTTGGCTTCCAGTACTATTACCAGGCTGGAGCTGAGGTACTAGACTAGTTCCCAGGGGTGTTGCTAGACTGGTGTTGAGTACTGGAGAGGTACTGGCCGCTTCTCAGAACCATTACTAGATTGGAACTGAGTACCAGCAGAGGCCAGGCCAGTTCCTAGAACTAGACTAGAGTTGCACACCGATAGGGTACAGGGCTGGCTTCTGGTACCATTAGTAGATCGGGGGGAAGTACCAGTAGAGGTACCAGGCCAGCTCCCAGGACTGTTACTAAAAGTGAGTACCAGTAAGGGTACCACAGGACTTCCGGATCTATTACTAGATTGGTGCTCAGCACTATCAGAGGTACCAGACTGGCTCCAAGGACCATTGCTGGACTGGAGCTGAGGCCCAGCAGAAGTACCAGGTCAGTTCCCAGGAAGATGAATAGACTAGGGTTGAGTACTAATAGAGGTACCAGGCCAGTTCCTGGGACTGTACCTAGACTGGAGGACCAGAAGAGGTACCAGGCCAGTTGGTAGGACTACGACTAGGCGGGAGTTGAGTGCCAGCAGAAGTGCCAGGCCGGCTCCTAGGACTATTCATAGACTACAGAGTTGAGCACTGTCGGGGGTACCAGACCAGTTTCTGGGACAATTACCAGAGTACCACAAGAGGTACCAGGCCAGCTCCTAGGATTATTACTAGTCTAGAGTTGGGTGCAGATAGGGGTATGAGGCTGGCTTCTAGGACCATTGCTGGACTGGAGCTGAGTCCCAGCAGAAGTACCAGGTCAGTTCCTAGCAATATTAATAGACTAGGGGTGAGCACTAATAGAGGTACCAGGCCAGTTCCTGGGACTGTACCTAGACTGGAGGACCAGAAGAGGTACCAGGCCAGTTGGTAGGACTACGACTAGGCTGGAGTTGAGTCCCAGCAAAAGTATCAGGCCAGCTCCTAGGACTATTCATAGACTACAGAGTACTAGTAGGGGTACCAGGCCAGTTCCTGGGACTATTGCTAGACTGGAGTTGGGTGCCGACAGGGGTATGAGGCCGGCTTCTAGGACTATGGCTAGGCTGGAGCTGAGTTCCAGTGACGGTACCAGGCCACTTCCAGGACTACTGCTAGACTAAAGCTGAGTACCAGCAGAAGTACCAGGTCACTTCCTGAACGACCAAGGACGGGAGCTGGGTAACAGCAGAGGGGCCAGGTGGGCTCCCGGCTGGCGTCTGTGCTGGCGCCAGTCCTCATGGGCAGTGGTGCCAGGCGGGCTCCAGGGCGCCGTGGACACTCACCAGGATGCAGCGATGGGTCCCAGGTGGCAGGCAGGTCCGCACCAGCCTGGTGACGAAGTGCGCGGCCGAGGGGCTGTTGTGACGGCTGACCCTGGCAGGCAGTGCGGCCACCGTGGCATAGTTCAGGTAGAGGGGGCAGCTGTCAGTGGGGTTGGGGTTGAGCGTGCTGAGGGCCGTCTGCCAGAGCTGCACACGGGGACAGACAGACAGTGAGGCCCGAGTGTGGGGGAGTGGGGGTGGGGCCTGGTAGCCTGCCCACCTGCATGGGGGCCTGGACACTGCAGGGCTGGGAGTTGCCTGTCCACGTGTGTGGGGGCCTGGACACTGCAGGGCCCGGGCTGGGGGTGGCCCATCCTCATGGGCTACGTGGGGGCCTGGACACTGCAGGGCTGCGGGTTGCCTATCCACGTGTGTGGGGGCTGGACACTGCAGGGCCTGGGATGGGGGTGGTCTGTCCTCGTGGGCTGCGTGGGGGCCTGGACACTGCAGGGCTGCAGGTTGCCTATCCACGTGTGTGGGGGCCTGGACACTGCAGGGCCCGGGATGGGGGCGGTCTGTCCTCGTGGGCTACGTGGGGACCTGGACACTGCAGGGCTGGGGGTTGCCTGTCCACGTGTGTGGGGGCCTGGACACTGCAGGGCCTGGGCTGGGGGCGACCTGCCCACGTGGGCTGCGTGGGGGCCTGGACACTGCAGGTCTGGGAGTCGCCTGCCCATGTGCGTGGGGGTCTGGGCACTGCAGGGCCCGGGCTGGGGCTGGTCTGTCCCCGTGGGCTGCGTGGGGGCCTGGACACTGCAGGGCTGGGAGTCGCCTGCGCATGTGCGTGGGGGTCTGGGCACTGCAGGGCCCGGGCTGGGGCTGGCCTGTCCCCGTGGGCTGCGTGGGGGCCTGGACGCTGCAGGGCCCGGGCTGGGGGCGGCCTGTCCACGTGGGCTGCGTCGGGGCCTGGACACTGCAGGTCTGGGAGTCGCCTGCCCATGTGCGTGGGGGTCTGGGCACTGCAGGGCCCGGGCTGGGGCTGGTCTGTCCCCGTGGGCTGCGTCGGGGCCTGGACGCTGCAGGGCTGGGAGTCGCCTTCCCGTGTGCATGGGGCCTGGGCACCGCAGGGCCGGGGGCGGCCCGTCCACGTGGGCTGCGTGCGTGCGGGCCGGGCCGGGCCGGGCCGGGTCAGGCCGGGTCGGGCCGGGCCGGGCCGGGCCGGGCCGCGCTCACCTCCTCGCTGACCCGCGGCTGCAGCTTCCCGCGGACGCGGCTCCAGGGCAGGCGCTGCAGGTGCCGGAGCTGCCCGAGCAGCAGCAGCGGCCGCGCCGCGGGGTCGGCGTCCCCCGCGCTGGCCGCGAAGCGCAGCCCCACGTTCGCCATCTTCCGCCCGCCCGGCCCGCCAGGCCCGGCCCGGCCCGGCCCGGCCCGCCCCCGGCCCGCCCCGGCCCGCCCCCGGCCCGCCCGCCGCGCCCGCCCCGCGCCCCGCCCCGCCCCCGCCCCGCCCCCGCCCCGCCCCCGCGGGCTCCCGCGCCCGCCCGGCGCCCCCCGCCCCGCCGCCCCCACCTCCGCCGGCCGCCCGACCCCCGCCCCGCCCGGCCCGAGGCCTCTGTGCGGCGCGCCCCGGGCCGGGGTCTCCCGGCCGCCGCCCGGCCGAGCGCGCGTGGGCGAGGAGCTGCCCTCCGGCCCTGCGGCCGGCCCGGCAGGCCAAGGACAGTGCAGGCCGCGCCTGGCGGGGGCCGGGCGACCCCCAGCCCAGCCCCGCAGCCGTGCGGAGAGGGCCACTGGCGCCGCCGCCCGAGACCCCCGCCCGCCCGGGGACAGGGCGAGGACGGGCCAGACGGAACCGAGGGGCTGCTGTGGGCGCGGGAACGAGGCCCTTCGAGGACGCTTCCCCCAGGCCTCGCGAGAGTCAGAGCACGTCCTGCCCGTCGCCCACCGTCTCGGGCCCTTTGGGGGCCCTGCATGCCGCCTGTCGCCCCTTAGCTTTTGACACGTAGTGCCGACCTTAGAAACTAGCACGGCCAACAGGGCAGTGTGCTGCCAGGTTTTGGCCTCTGCACCCAGGCCCCTGCCTCCTAGCCTGCACATGGCTGGGCGCTCTGTGAAGGCCGCAGTGGCGAGTGAGGAAAGGCATTCCTTGCAGGCCCTCGGCTTCCCACCTACAACTTGAGACTAATTGGATCTTATTTTTTTCCCTGAAAGCTTGTGTGGTCACCGAATGTTTTCACGCATTTGTAAAGGGTATAAAAGTCCAGTGCCAGTGCAGGACCCAGCGTGGGGATCCAGTGTGGAGATCTACAGTGGGGATCCAGTGAGGAGCTCTACCATGGGATCCACTAACGGATCTACTGTAGGGGTCCAGTGTGGAGATCTGTGGGGATCCACTAGGTCTACGGTGAAGATCAGCACGTAGATCTGCTGTGGGGATCCAATGTGGGGATCTGTGGGATCCACTAATAGAACCACTAGGTCTATGGTGAAGATCAGCACGTAGATGTGCTGTGGGGATCCAGTGCAGAGATCTACTGTAGGGATCCAGTGCAGAGATCCAGTGTGGAGCTGGGGCCCCAGCAGAGGCTGAGGCACTGGCCTTCTCTGTTGGGGCAGCAGCGGGAAGGATGTCCTACCTAGAACTTCCCCAGGCAGCCGGGAAGGGAGAGGCACTTGGGAGGGGGCCAGAAGGACACGTGGCCCCAGAGTGTAGCTCTGAGGCCAACATGGAAGACTTTAGACAGCAGGAAAATCCATTCCAAACCCAGCAAGGATCCAAGGTGCATTCTGGGAAGCAGGGCCGCCGGGGGAGGGGGGGGGGAAAGGGGCAAAAACTGGGCAGACGGGCTTGGGAGAGCATTTCCGGACCCTTCCGTGTCGAGCGTCACCCCAGCGCCCAGGAAAGGGGAGCCAGATGATTTGCTTCATGAACCCGGGTTGCACAGGAGGCGCGATGTTGCTGGTCAGACACAGATACTCGGCTTCCGGTCTGAAACCACCCCTGAATCGAGGAATCCAAACTAAACAGACACGGAGGAATCCGTCCACTTCAGATGTCTGCCAATTTCCTCAAGATGCGACTCGTGAGAGAAACAGAAATATCCCAGGAAAGTGCCTCCCGCCCCCCTCCAGGAGTAACAGGCCGCCCTGTTTGGATGATTTTTGACGACGGATTCGGTCCGCAGCTTAATCTATATTTCACTGTCAATGAAAAATTGACCTTCGCTTAATCTTCTGTAAAAAATGAAATTCGAAAACAACTTACCAGCTCTTTCATGCAACCCAAGAACTAACTTAGGTTTCTCGTGCCCGAGACTCATTCCAAACTCAACTGGCTGCTTAGACTTCATTTGAGAATTTAAGGAAAAGACTAGAAATTTCTGGAAGAGAGCAGAAGCCGGGGGCCAGAGCAATGGTCCCGCGGGTCCGGCGTCTGCCTGCACACAGCCAACCTGGGGCGATCCCCAGCACCCCCTAGGGTCCCCCAAGCCCTTCAGGAACACAGAGCCAGGAGGAAGGCTGGAAAACCCCCGGGTGTGGCTCAAACCGGTCACGGCGGTCCTCCTGTTGTTTATCGACTTGCTGGAGCAGGCCCAGTAACGTCTCCATCGTGAGACTTGTTGTTACTGTGTTTGCCGTATTGAATACGCCACGGGGAGTTACCAGGCTTTGCTGTGCGGGTGAGATACTCTCGGTAGCTTGCCGGGCTCTCTCGAGGGGCGGAGGAATCGAACCCGGCTCGGCCAGGCCAGCTGTGCGCAAGGCAAACGCCCTACCGCTGTGCTATCGCTCCAGCCCAAAACAAACATAGAAAAACAAAACAGAGCAGGAAAATCGGAGTCTAGCCTCCAGGACTTGTTAAGGACCCTTTGGGGCTCTAGGCAGACGCAGCGGGTGTTTCTGGGTTCACGGCACCCGGAGCTTGTCCCTGCATGGACTGCGGTGGTACCCTCCCCACCCCCACTCCACATTTCCTTCTGACTCCGGAAGCAAAGGGTGCTCCTGGAGCACTGTGTGGCCCCGTTTTCATTCTTGTGCCCTTCTCTCTCTCTCTCTCTCTCTCTCTCTCTCTCTCTCTCCTGGCCCAAAGTGCTGCAGGCCCCCGAGGCTTTGGAGCCCAAAGGTAGGGGTGTGGGAGCCGCCAGGCCGGAGGGACACACGCAGTCACCACAGCCAGGCCCCTTGGGGAAGGGCTCCCGGCTGGCCACCGACAAAGGCGCTGCGCACACAAGGGCCCGAGCATGGGCTGAGCCGGCGAGAGACAGGCGTCCCCTGACAGCGTGGGTGCTCCCTACGAAAGGCCGCATCTGGGGTGAGCCTCCCCGCGCCTGGCTCCCTCCTCGCCCTCCGCAGTGGGTCTGGCCAGGCGCAAGAGTGATAGCACAGCAAGGAGGGCGTTTGCGTTGCACGCGGCCAACCTGGGTTCGATTCCCGGCATCCCATAGGGTCCCCTGAGCACCGCCAGGAGTAATTCCTGGGTGCAAAACCAGAAGTAATCCCTGTGCGTCGCTGGGTGTGACCCAAAAGCAAAAAAATAACAACAAAAAAAAAACCCACAGTGGGCCTGGGCACTCACACCGCAGTGCCTTGGGGGGGCGGCGGTCTTGGGTCCACAACGTCTGTCCGACCGGAGAGGCCACCCAGAGTCCCCGGGGTGGAAAGGGAATTCAGTGCCGTGAGGATCATGCTTCTCTAAAAGGTGTACCCGAAAAGCTGACGACTTAGGGTGGGAGCACTGGGCACCCCCCAGGCTCACAGAGGAGGGGGCGGCACGTTTCAGGTCAGAGGGCGCGAGGAATCCAGCCCACCCTGCCACAGCGCCCTCACACTGAAGCGGCGCTGTCCTCGCCCAGGATGACGTCCCGCACGGCCCCCGCACCACTGAGATGTCCCCCCGCCATGTCCTTCATGGCCTTTTCCTCTTTAAATCCAGTGTCCAAATACGGATCAGGCACTCCGTTTGGCTGCCCAGGGCTTTGCCCCTCTAATCCACAGCAACGGCTTCTGTCTTCCTGACATTGAGGTGACTCGGCAGCAGGCCCGGCTGTCGGATTCGCCGATTCTTCACAGTTACACTGTGGTTAAACGTTTCCTGGCCCCCCACACCTGGGAACTGCATGGCCAGGCGGTTGGCCAGGCCGGTGACTTGCTTAGGTCACGGCAAGGGCATGACGCCCCTTCCTAACGGACACTGAAATCAGGGAGCCCTTCCAGTGGGTAGGGCCCGGAGCAAGAGCCCGGCAGAGCCAGGAGGAAGCCCTGAGCACCCCTGGGTGTGGCCCCAAACCAAACAGAATAAAGTCTCATCCGAGTATGTGGGTGGGGGCAGGGAGGGAGTTTTGCTCTGCCCTTGCCAGACCCCAGGGTTCACACCCCAGCACCCCCAGGGGTCTCTTGAGCACCTCTAAAAGTGAGTCCTGAGCACGGAGCTGGGGGTGACCCCCCAAACCAACCAACCACCCACAACCAAGACCCTGAATTTCAACAAGGGAGTAGGAGAGCGTTCGGTTCCAAGGAGGCCCCACAGCTGGCCAAGGCCCAGGAGAACCCTGGGGTCACCTCTGCTGGACATGTTCCTCTCAGGGTGGGGGCTAGGAGTCCTTTCTGGAACAGAGGCACGTGCCCCAGTGTGTGTGTGTGTGTGTGTGTGTGTGTGTGTGTACATGTGTATGCATGTATGTACGTCTATGTGTGTGTATTATGTCTGGATGTGGAATGCAGTTTTACGACAGGCACTCAAGCTGACCGTGTCCGCCCACTGCTTTGGATCCCTTTGGGGACAACGCCCACCACCTCATTCGATGGCCAGTACAGGTTCTCCGGCCACTGCGGGCCTGCATGCAGAGGTCCAACCATCCGTGAGAGGACAGAGTATGCATGGCCACGCTGACGGGTCAGCTTCCTCCTCCCTACCCATCCACTGTCGGGGCCCATCGGCAGAAAACAGCCCCACCGCTTACCAGGACCCGTGGACCCAGACCATGGCTGGTTTATTTATTTATTTCCATATCTTTCTTTCTTTGGGGGGCTGCACTTAACAGTGCTCAGAACTCACTCCTGGTGGTGCCGGGAGACCCTCTGGGGGCCGCCGGGCCAGCAAGCGCCATCACCCCCAGTGTGCCTCTGGGCCCGCCTCTTAATCATGATCAGAAAGACTCTTTTGGGGGATGGGAGGGATACTGGGAGCATCGGAGGTGGAGATGGGCCCTGGTGGAGGGATGGGGACTCGACCATTGTATAACTGACACCCAAGCACAAAAATTTGTACGTCTACAACTGGACCTCCTGGTGTTTCACAAATAAAAATCACGAAGAACGTTCAAAAACAAAAGAGAAAAAAGAAAAGCTCTTTTGTAGGAAACCCTTCTCTTCTGTGGGGCTTGTGAGGAGTGTGTCGCTCCGGTCGTCCAAACCCGAGTCCCACTTTCCCCAGAAGCCGCGGCGAAGTCGTAGCGGGTTTATCCGCAGCACCTGGACGGGGGTCTTCGAAAGGGCCCAGACAAGCGTGCGGGCAGGCTTTGGGCGGCATGAGGCCCGGCCGGG